TGTATTTAATTCATATTTTGTTGTATGATTGAAGATAATGCATGCCTGTTGATAAACGAATGAATGTATGTGTATAGTATGAGTGTAACTGTATGATTGATGATGAATTGAATGAATAAGAGTATATGTTGGATGTGATGTATGATCATGTTTGATACGTATGATTATGAAAGATTAATATGATTTGTATAAAGTCTGGAAATTTGATATTGATATGAAACTATAAAGTATGAATTATATGAGAAATATCGAGTTAGGATAGAAGAACAATCTGAATCTTAAATTAATCTCTATGATAAATTACGCTCGTTATCAAACGGTCTTATACCGTTCGGTTCCCCTGAAAAAGACTTAAGGTAGAATTCTTTCATTAGGGAAGAATTCGGTTTGAGAACGAGCGTCCTCATTTGAATTACTATGTTTGAGCGTTCGGCTCAGCATAGGGAAGTCGTACACCTTAAATTAAAATATACTGAAGTAAGTGACGTTCGGTCTTATATCAAACGTTCGTTCTAAATAGCGCTCTGTCTTATACTGAGCGTTCGTCCTATATTGCGCTAGGTCTTATACCAAGCGTTCGTCATTCATGGTGCTCGGTCATCTACCTGGCGTTCACCATAAGTGGTGCTCGGTCTTATACCAAGCGCTCATATTATTGAATAACCCCTTTAATAAAATAGCGTCCGTTCAAGTGTTAGAGTATTCATGTTCCTTACGTTCGTGCAGTTACTGGCATCGTTTTTTTTTTTTTTTCCATATGCAAAATTCTACAAAGGTAATCCTAAGTACTATTGACCCTCCCTCTTACATTAAATCTGGTCTAAGGTCTTCATCATGAGATTTTCTAAGTATTAAGGTACCTTCATACTAGTCAGTTCATTTAACTGACTAAATAGATATTCACGTTCGTTATATATATTTTCCTGTTCATCCAGTGCCTTTATTTGGACGTTCGTCATAACTCTTCAGTGGATTGAGCGTTCGTTATTTTATACTCTTAAATCTAAAGATGTAAAAGATGAGGAATTATAATAATTTAAAGTGTGAACGCCATATGGAGCGATATTATGATATTGGATTTTGGACGAGCGTTCCAGGGAGGAACGTCTCATACATGTTGATTTTTGAATTGGGTAAAGTATGACTGTGGTTATGCTAATGCTGGCATGGTCCATCCTGATATTCCGTGATACTCATCTTCACGTAGAG